ATTTTAGGGGCCATTTTGACTATTGTATTTGGGGTCATTTCGACTAATTTTGACTTTTGGGGCCATTTTGACATGGGGACATTTCGGTTTAGTGCCAAATTGACTTTAACCTAAGATAACTAGCTTTAGGAGTACATTACAATTCAATTTTATTCACTGAAATCCAGTTTTAGCAATAAATTTATTTGGGGTCTAAATGTACCCCAACATACTAGCATGGTGTGTTTCAATTTAAAAGGTTAACATATCCGCTAATTGTGATTGTTGCACAGTAGACTGATCATGAACAGATTAAAAATTCATTCAGCTACAATGTTAATAACCAAATTGCTATCTTCGATGGCATTTTGGAAATTCGAAAAAAATTGGTGCTGGGGTCCCGAAATACCCCAAGTTCTAGCACAAGGGTTAAGTATTGTGTTAGTGCCTGTTATCTACATAAACTTAAATCGCTTTAAATTGAAAATATTCAAAATGACAGATGCCAGATCAAGATTCAATAGGTGAGACTTTGTCACTTCATACATCAACATCAATTGAGAGAATTCAAAATGACAGATGTCAGATCAAGATTCAACAGGTGGAACTTTGACACTTTACACATCAACACCCAATGGAACCAATCCAACTACTAACCACTATGACTACCAACAACTATTCCTAGTTTGCGATATTCACTTTATTTTGGCAATCCATTTAGAAAAAAGTCTAATTCTTAGTAGATCTTACTAAACTACAAATTATATACAATATTACATTAAAGGGATAGACCAGTTTTTTTTCAACGTGAAGAATTACGCTAATTATGCGTGATCTAAACCCTTTATAATATATAGTTTCTATAAATTAACCTGGCCACTGAGGTATTGTTAAAACGTCAAATTTGCAATTTCCTTTCATAATTGATACGAGGCCAGTGTTTTCTCGTGAAAGGTTTCCTGGCGTCTGAAATGAATACGAACAAGCGCCAAAGGTTTTGTTTATAAATGACTACGAATTTTCGATCAGAAATATAAAGATAGCTTGCCAGGCAAGGTAATATACGCCCACTGCCAGCTTTGATTTTCAATAAAAATATTTGGCAGTACAGAAACAATTACCAGTATGAAATATTCAACCTTCAGAAATACACTTCTTTTGAACTTTGGGGGCGATACTGAATAATATTACCAAGTTTCATCAAAATCTGTCAAGAATTGTGCCTTCTAGAGTGTTTATAAATTACGTGTTAAAGGTCCATTTTGTTTCAATAGAGCTATAAAGTACGTTGTTAATGTCCATTTCGGTTCAATAGAGCTATAAAGTACGTTGTTAATGTCCATTTCGGTTCAATAGAGCTATAACGTATGTTGTTTATGTCCATTTCGTTTCAATAGAGCTTTAAAGTACGTGGTTAATGTCCATTTCGGTTCAATAGAGCTATAAAGTATGTTTTAAAGGTAAATTTTGTTTCAATAGAGCTATAACGTACGTTGTTAATGTCCATTACGTTTCAATAGAGCTATAAGATACGTTGTAAAGGTCCATTTTGTTTCAATAGAGCTATAAAATACGTTTTAAAGGTACATTTCGTTTCAATAGAGCTATAACGTACGTTGTTAATGTCCATTCCCTTTCAATAGAGCTATAAAGTACGTTGTAAATGTCCATTTCGTTTCAATAGAGCTATAAAGTAGTGGTAAAAGTCCAATCAGTTTTAATAGAGCTAGTTCGGGTGTTGCGTGGGGCTCACTGTTTTATTTCAAAAGAACCTAGGTATAGGTAAAGAAGCACAAGAACTATGGATATACAATNTCTGACATTGGGAAACGTTGAGTTTAAGTGACAGATTCAGCCAATTTTTGAGTGTTGATTTTGGCGTTGAATACAATATGTAAATAGTCTTCAGAAGTACTACAATTGTACGGAATTCGCATAATTCCCTTAAATAAACCTCAAACAAGAAATGCTTAAAGGTTTTGGGCATTTCCTTTGATCAACATCTAGATTATAATAAGCATATAGCGATAAAATCACGTAACGCTGCCTTAGCATTAATGAAAATAAAACAAAACTAGAGCTGTGAACAGCACTGAGCGTGGCCCGTAATACTTTTCCTGATAGCTGTAAGACTTTTTTGAACTTCAAACCCTCTCAAGCCCGATGTTGACTCGACCACTTTTAGTAAAGAGCCAAGCTAAATGAAATGTTTTGTGAAAGGGTAAAT